AGTGTGGCATGATTAAAGTCTCCAGATATAATAATGAAAGCCTCAGGGTGTTGTGTCTGTAGTCTTGCTGTAACTGTGTGTATTTTCTCACAGGCAGCTGTTGCGTCGGCCCTCGGAGGGATGTAAACACACACAGATCACCCTGACTAAACTCCTAGGTAGATAATATGGCCGCAAGCTAACAGCTAGCAGCTCCAGGTCCGAACGACATACAGATACTTTAACGGAGACGTGTCCAGGGTTACAATATCTGTTGTTAACGTAGACAATGAGTCCCCCACCTCTGCTTTTTCCGCTGGCCTGCGTGTCCCTATCGGCTCTCATGGATGTGAATCCACATAGGTCTACGTTAGCCTGCGGCGTTAGCTCGGTTAGCCACGTCTCTGTGAAGATAAACAAACTGCACTCACGGTAGAGTCGGTGGTTGTTCAGAGCGCACAGTTCATCAATCTTATTCTGTAACGAGTTCACGTTGCCCATGATCACTGTCGGGATTGATGGTTTGAATCACCTCCGGTGATCCGCTTTCCTCGCTCCAGCCTTGCAGCCTCTGTAGCTCCTCTTTAGCTCGGCCGGGATATTGTATCTCATGCCGGTCTGTGCCTTTGTGTTAAGTGCCAGCAGCTCCGCTCTTGAGTAGATGAAGGAGCTGGTTCCAGAAGTTTTAAAAAGTGTGTTATCCATAGTATATCTAAGAGGTAGAAAGTAAAGTGACTAAAGGAAGTTAAAAAAAAAAGGTTGAAAGACTAGTCTAAAACAGTTGAAAGTTAAGAAACAAGTTTGGTGTTGCAGAGCTACTTGGAAAGGCTGTCGTCACTCCAGCGCCATCTTGCCATAAGTTGAGCAACTCTAGTCTCGCACTGGCAAAACTAAAGGAACACTTCTTGAAGCTGCATGGAGACGGGGGATACAAGAGCACAACACTTGCTGAATTCAAGGTGAAGAGAGACAGATTCGATGAAAGGCCCACTCTGCCTGCTCTTGGATTTGTACCCGTTAACAAACCGATCCTCACAGCATCGTACGAAGTTGCTTACCTGATCGCAAAGCAGGGCAAGCCATACACCATTGGTGAAACACTTGTGAAACCAGCTGCGTTAAAGATGGCGAATCTGATACTCGGAACAGCGGCCGAAGGTAAATTATCCCAAATTCCTCTTTCAAATGACACCATCAGCGAAAGAATAGAAGACATGAGTAAAGACAACTTGGCTCAAGTAGTCGCCGATCTGATTTCAAGCCCGGCAAAATTCAGCCTTCAACTTGATGAGAGCACAGACGTTGCTAATCTAAGCCAGCTTGCTGTTTTTGTGCACTATGTGAAAGATGACGTGATAAAAGAAGATTTTATTTTGCAAGCCTCTTACAACAACAACTAAGGCAGCCGATGTGAAGAAGCTTGTGGATGACTTCTTCAGAGACAACAATCTTTCATTGGATATGGTTGCAGTTTGTACAGATGGAGCTCCAGTCATGCTGGGAAGAAACTCTGGTTTTGGTGTGCTAGTAAAAGCCGATGCACCACACATCATGGTGACGCATTGTATTTTGCACAGGCATGCGTTGGCAACAAAAACCTTGCCTCCAAAAATGGCAGAAGTGTTAAAAACTGTGGTGGAATGTGTGAACTATGTGTGAAATAGTGCTCTGAGGCTCTGCATCTTCAGTGAGCTGTGTGAAGAAATGGGCTCTGAATTCGAGGTACTTCTGTACCATTCTAATGTTCTGTGGTTATCCCGGGGACAGGTGCTGAATCGTGTTTTTGCCATGCGTGTGGAATTAGCCCTGTTTTTGCAAGAGCACCAACACTGTCATGCAGATTGCTTCAAAAATCTTGAGTTCATTTTACGGTACATGGCTGATATATTCGTAGCTCTCAATCATCTCAATCAGCAGATGCAGGGTGGTAGAGTCAATGTCATAGAAGCAGAAGAACACCTGAAGGCTTTTCAAAAAAAGCTAGCGTTATGGAAACGACAAACAGAGGACAACTACTTCGCAAACTTCCCCCTTCTGGACAACTGTGTAAGTAAGATCGAAGATGTGTCTGGAATCGGAGATATTTCTGTATCCACATAACTGAAGCAAACAATTGCAACGCAGTTAGATGAGCTTGTAAGCAAAGTCTCTCGACAAATATTTTCCTACAAGAGTCATATCCAGCATGGGTGAGACAACTGTTCACGTTTGCTGTTGAAACAGCAGATGTCAGTGATGAATACCATGGCAAAATCATTGAAATTCAGCAAAGCTAGGTTCAACAGCAACTCTTCAGAACCACAACGCTCTCAACGTTTTGGTGTCGACAAATGGACGAGTATCCAGTTATTGCTAAGAAAGCCCTGGATTTTTTTTTATACCATTTGTTACAACATATCTTTGTGAGCAATCCTTTTCGAGGATGCTGGACATAAAAACGAAGAAAAGGAACAGACTTTGCTGTGAAAATGACATGAGAGTGGCACTTGCCAAGGTGAAGCCATGATAGACATTGCACAGCTGGCCATCTTCATCCGTGGAGAGGAAATATGGGCATTAAATCGATGCACGGGACAACGACAGGAAAAGACATTTTTTAAAACCTATGTCAAAGTGTAACCGACATGAAACTGCCCTGGGGCAAACTTGTTGAACTTAAAAAAAAGTGGACTAGCTTAAGGAGAACTGCACCGGTGAGTTAACAGCATATCACAGCATCATACACCAGGAAACACTGCGTGGTAAAGTCCTAAAAATGGAGCATGTAATGAGCACCGTAACGCAAACTGTAAATTTTATCCGAGCAATTTCAGTCTTTTATGTGGGAAATAGATTCAGCGTTTGCCGACATTCCTTATCATACAGAGGTCCATTGGCTGAGTTGGGGAAAAGTTCTCAATCAACTTTTTGAGCTCAGCAAGGAAACCTGTCAGTTCATGGACATGGCATGTATGATGCGGTGAAGACATTTCAAGTGAAGCTGCTCTTATGGGAGTCACAAATGAACCAGTGCAACTTGCCTCACTTTCCCTTTTGCCAAGTAATGTTGAACCAAGTCAGCGCAACAATTTTCCCAAATGCGCACCTTGCTGATAAGCTAAGTGCACTGCGCACTGAGTTCGCACGGCGCTTTGGTGACTTTGAAGCGCAAAAAGAGAATTTCGAGCTGCTTCGCAACCCATTTACGGGCGACCGTGGCTCAGGGGGTTGGGAATCGCATCTGTAACTGGAAGGTCGCCGGTTCGATCCCTGGGCTCTCTGTCCTGGTCGTTGTGTCCTTGGGCAAGACACTTTAGCCTACTTGCCTACTGGTGATGGCCAGAGGGGCCGATGGCGCGATATGGCAGCCTCGCTTCTGTCAGTCTGCCCCAGGGCAGCTGTGGCTACAACTGCCTCCACCAGTGAATGAATAGTGGTATTGTAAAGCGCTTTGGGTGCCTTGAAAAGCGCTATATAAATCCAATCCATTATTACAGTTGACATGGAAACTGCACCCGTGCAGATTCAGATGGAGCTGACTGAGCTGCAGTGTAATGGGACACTCAAGGCAAAGTACGACACTGAAGGGCACAGTTTATTCGTTCCATTCCTGAAGTAATGCCCCAGCTCCGTCTACATGCGGCTCAAACCTTGTGTATGTTTGGTAGCACATACCTGTGTGAGAAGCTGTTTTTAGTGTTGAAGATGAACAAAACAGCACACAGGAGTCGTCTCACCGATGAACACCTGCAGTCCATCCTGAGAATCTCTACAACAAAGACCGACAACGAACTTGTTGCCAAAAAAAGATGCCAAGCATCCAGCTCTGACAAAGTGGCATGAGAGCCAAGAAAACTGATTGTTATGATTTGTTGTTGTTGTTGTTGTTTGTTTGTTTTTTCACTTTTGCGGAAAAGCAGAAATTTTATTTATATTTCTAGTTTGTTTTTTTGCATCATGTTTATATTTTCAATTTGTATCAGGAGATATTTTTATGAAGAGCAAAATATTTTAAGTTTATTTTATTTTTTATAAACTGTCATAATAGCAACAAAATCTCATTGTTTTGATTTGTTGTTATTTTAGCGTTTACTTAGACGCACAATTTTCATGTATTTTTTCTGGGGGTTTTGGCAGCATTTTCACATTTCTAACTTGTATAATTTTGACAGGATATATTTTATGGAGAGAAAAATATTTAAAGTTAAAGTTTATTTTTTGTAAGTTTATTTATTCTGGAATAATATTCATGTCCATTTTTATTCATATTTATATATATATTTTAAAGAAAAACATTGTTTTAGTTTGTTCAGTGAATGTTTATCTTGTTTGGCCAACGACCTAAAGTGTGCCTTGAGTTTTGGCCCCCTGTGCAAATGAGTTTGACACCCCTGGTTTAAAGTAACAGAGCTGCAGTCATATCATATTTCGGTTTGTGACGACTTTGAAATGACGTTAGAGGAAAACACTCCTCCCGAGTGTTGCAGGAAGTGACGTATATAACTGTCTGGGTACAATGGCGCCTCTAGATTTGGATAAATATGCAGAGATTGCAAAGCAGTGTAAATACCTCCCAGAAAACGATCTGAAGGTAAATGTCACTTTCTTGGCGTGTTTCTGCTGAATCCGTGTTGTGGGGCTGATAATAACGGCGCTCTCACTCCTGCTGTCTGTTGGAATAGCAGAATTAGCTATAGCTAGCTAGTGATGCTAGTCTGTTGATTTCAATCTCTCAGACAGTAAAATAATAATGTATCTTAGCTGTCATGGCACAGTTAAAGTTTAGTAACATCCTCTGAGATGGTATGGGAGCAGGAGCGACAGTGGCCTGAGGGATTGTTATTTTTCTGAAGGTACCACAATATCAGCAGTGAGCCGATGCTGCTAGCTGTTATCATATGGGCTGACCGCTGGGTTTTTCTCACCGGTGTAAAGCTGTACTCAGTCTTGGTTGGTTTCAAACGATTTTAAGAGTAGTTGCAGTGACCAAGAGTACCGTTCCTTCCCATCCTTTCAAACTCAGTTACACTCCCCCGTAGTAGCCAGTGACAGTTTCATGGTTGTTGTAGTCATTATGAAACCGGGAGACTAGTCAAGCTGATCAGCGGTTTGTGAAAGGAAACAATAATTAATGTGCACTCAAAGTTATTGTCAAGATCTGAATTTAAAGGAGACAGTCTTTCAGTTACTGTAAGTGACTGGCTACAAATACGTTTTTGGTGACACGCCACCTACGGGCAGAGGAAAAATCGATCCAGCGTAGTGTCACGATACTTTACATGATGATACTTAAAAGGTTACGGGGACACAAATTATAAATATTTTATTAAATACACAATTATACTCTGGCAATACTGTGAACAATACGGCTTATCTCATGTCCCACCAACCGAAGATGTAGCTGCACGATTTGTAATACTGTACTGATTTTGATATATCGTTCACATTTCTTCTGTTTTTTCACAGCCGTACTTTGCAGTGATGTTTTCTTTAAACTCAGATTGGCTGAACTGAAAAACAGGAACAGGTGTCTCTTGTAAATGAGACAACACTGGAAGAATTTAGCTTGACAAGCTACCTTCTAATTTAGAGCAAGCTAAAGGCTCAGTCGTACAAGTACAATCAGAACCCGGATACTTTCTTAATCCTTAAGGAAATTCTTTGGTTAAATTTGCTCCTCTACAGGGAGATTCAGCGAGTACAAGAATGATCTCCTGTGCTGTTTTTTTAAATTTATTTTTTAGTCTTTCTTGTCATTTTATTTTAAGTGGTCTTGAGCAATAGTTGTCCAAGCTTTCTGAAGGTCTTTCAGAGTTTGTATTTTGACATTGGTTACTTTTTTTTGAACAAATTACACATTTGATTAGCACGTCTCATTAGATGTAAACATGTAAATGGCAACAACTTTATTTTTCAGTGTGAACAGTTCCCAACGCGTTGCTACACTTAGTGTTTCACTGTGGATTTTCCATCTATCAGTTATGACTGGCCTGGGTGGCTGTAGGTCAGGTGGTAGGGCAGGTCATCTACTGATCGGAAGGTTGGTGGTTTGATCCCTGGCTGCTCCTAATCTGCAAATATCCTTGGACAAGATATTAACCCCCAGTTTCATCCACCGGCGTATGATCGTGTGTAAATAGTAGCTAGAAAGTGCTTGTGTGAATGTGGCATGTTGTATAGAGCACTTTGAGTCCTCCAGGAGAGAAGAAAAGCACTATAAAAGAATCAGACCATTTACAGTTTACCTCCTCAGAGGCCAGATGTCAACATTATTAAAGCAGTGACTGAAACAGTAACAAAAGGCAGCAAATATCCACGGAAGAGCATTAGCATGCGCCAAAAAGCTTGGTGAACTATTCTTGAACACCACTTGGTTAACAGAGCTCAGGCAGAATGAAAGTAGTTGAACTTCCCAGTCGCTTAGGAAATGCTTTAGATTCATACTTCTATTATGAAATTGGTCTTATTTACAAACTGAGTGGCTTATGTTTTCTGTCTGTTATGCTGTGATCTGTACAGAGGTTATGTGACTACGTGTGTGATCTTCTGCTGGAGGAGTCCAACGTGCAGCCCGTCTCCACTCCTGTAACAGTGTGTGGGGACATACATGGACAGGTAAAAATGGAGTCTCAAAACACCCTGATCACTGATGTTTCTAAGCAACATGTTTACACTGACTCTTAACAGAGTTTTCACCTTTTTTAATGTTGGTCTGGGTTTTAAATAAATACCCGAGTGTCTGTCTGTGTTCTAGTTTTATGATCTTTGTGAACTCTTCCGAACTGGTGGCCAGGTTCCAGACACAAATTACATCTTCATGGTTTGTTTCTTTTATTAAGTTTGGAACACATTTTTAGAAGCAGCTTTCTTAACTGGTTCTGTTTAACAGGTATGTTGGCACAGTGTCTGTAATATACCTCCGTCATCTGTAGGGTGACTTCGTCGACCGAGGGTATTACAGCTTGGAGACGTTCACCTATCTGCTAGTGCTGAAGGCCAAATGGCCTGACCGCATCACTCTTCTACGTGGAAACCATGAGAGCAGGCAGATCACCCAAGTTTACGGCTTTTATGGTGAGTTTTGATTCACAGAGCTGATGAGGAGCAGCCCCTTTTTTTACTTTGGAAAACAATAAATGGAATAATAATAATATAGAACTAACAAATACATTGTGTTGAAATAGGACCAAAAAAATCAAACCAAAAACAAAATATTTTTTAAAGCTGTTTTTCACAATATTTAGTTTATATGACATGCACAGTACTTTTCATTCAGCATTTTTCTCCCTTCCTGATATAATATTTTTGCATATTTGTCACACTAAAGCGTTTAAGATCAAGCTAATGTTTATATTAGACAAAGACAACCCAATTGTTAAACTGATGGTTTTATTTATTGACAATCCAAATGTACCTGTCCCTGTGTGAAAAAGTCATTGGTCTCTCTTATTATCCACCTTTATGGAAAGGTGAGTACAGTCACACCCAGGCCTGATTCCAGGCTGACATCAGACTGGAAATGGTTACAAAGCAAACTAAGGCAAACCACGAGCACTATTATCCACAAATTGAGAAAAGGTCAGTGGTGAACAGTGGCAGGCCTCCCAAAATTACTCCAAGAGCACATCAATGACCAGAAGGTCACAAAAGAACCCACAGCATCATCTACAGAACTGCAGGGCCCTATTTCAGGAAGCCGGTTTAGAAAACTCAGAGTGAAAAACGATACTCAG